GCAGAAAACGAATCATCGCACTATCAGCTGCAGGTCCGGATTGTTTCTGTGACCGGTGTGAAAATCAGCGTGACGATTCTCTGCCTTTATTAGTCCTGGAAGCGCGTTCAGGAGAAACACTATGGCCGTTTTCATGCAGAACGGGGTTGAGGTTATGGTGGGACAATGCCATTGCTGTCCTCCCTAATTCTGACCGACCCGCTGAACCTCGCATCACAAGAAAGGGGAAAAGAATCCTTATCAGCCACTCGATTTCCGTCAGAAAATAAGACTCTTGCATTCTGAGTCTTTTGTTGGAATCCCTCAACCTATGCTACAGAATGTATCAAGGAGAGACATCATCAAACAACCAGGACGTCCGTTCCTCTTTTTCCCGGCAAGCATGGGGGAAGGCACTAAGGCAGCTAGGCACTCACACACGCAGGCACCATGAGAGCCATATTGATCAGAATTGCTCTTTCCATGGTCGATATGACATGGACATTGTCGGGTGCTTATCTACGAAATTCAGGTTTCCAGTTTAAGAGCACCGCTCGTCATTTGTCCTTCGAAACGCCCTCGTCTCTGACGGTCATGAAAGCAGGATATTCAGTCCGAGTAGGCTCTCAGAGTCTGACTGATTGACTTAACTAATCTAGTCACTGAGCCGTGGCCATTTCCATACGACGCCGTCTGATATCTGTACTGCTTATTTTCGACGCAAAGCTTTCGCCATCGGTTGTGGGAACCTCCCCCGAATGTAAGACATCTATCTCGAAGACATCGAGGCTCTTCCACCCCTTCTTCGCTCGCTCATCATTGACAGCTGCGCCTCCCGAGCGAGTTTCCGCGGACACCACGAGAGCATCGATGCTTTCATCGGTGATCGTCGGTCCAAACGGGTCCGTGATTTGTACCAATTTCAGCGTCAATCCGCAACGGACCTTCATTAGCACATAATGGCCGTTGGGACCCGGCTGCGACACCCGCTCAATGCGCGGTGCACTTCTGTCCGGAAGGCTGAAATCCATAATCGCCATAAGGAAGGACGAGGTGCTCTGACATCGGTCATCCCAGCTCTCCAGGAATTCAGCATACTTTTTATTCTTCAACAATGCATCTCCTGTGACACCCACAGTCAGAAGTCGCTCAGGGATCGGGTCGAACTCTTCCACAGGTTCCAAAGCCAAAGCAGTGGCAGCGAGGAGAAGTTTGTGTCCAATATGAAAGTGATCAAATGTGCCCCCTACGGCAACTGAATAATGCGGCGATTGAGCCTTAACTTCCGGAACTATCAATGTCTCGGGAGGAGGCCAGCTGGGTTGATTTGAGAGTGAATGCAAAGATCCAGCGTTCGGGTCTTTGTTCTTCGAATAGAAACTATCAAACGCTGTTGCTAGGTGCTGGCCTGCTTCGTTTCCTGGATAGTAGATCCAGTCCCATAGTCGCGAAGAATTTGCCAGCGATTGCAAATCGAGGATCGGTCCATGTCGTGGAGTCTGATGATCCTCTGCTGAGGTTGTGGGGAAATCAACAAAGATTACCCGAGCATCAATGCCACCAGGGGCATCCAGCTCAATGCTGTGCTCGGCGCTGACGATTCCAATCAGCCTGTAGATATTTGCCAGGTAATGTTGGAGACTTGGGAAAATTTTCGCCCGAGGTTGAGAGCTTCGTGAAAGCAGACCTGGTATGGAAATAGCGATGTCTAGAATTGCAATGCTATTGACGCCATTAAGCGTCTTGCAGAGTTTGGAAAAAACAGTAGACAAGCTCGGTTCATAAGCATCTTTGAATTGTTCAAACTTGACAGCCGGGGGAGGAGGGAGAAGAAGCAGAGCTGCAATCTCCTGGGGACCGTCATCAGAAGCCATTCTGAAGGTGATTGCGGGGGGGGTAGACGAGGGGAAGATCGCAAAAGGAAGACGGAGATAGGGTGGCAGATGATACACACTGGGCGATTATATATGCTGAGAAATTCAACTGAACATTTTTGAATAGACTTCTTGAACCAGCGAATCGCAGACAACTAAAAGACAGTTACGCAAACCCTGTGTTACCTCCGAACAAACAGAAGAAGTATGGCCGTCGGTCATGTCTTCTTCGAGAGACTCAACTCATCATCACGGCTGACTCAGCAGCACGAGACCTCCCCCAGCGACTCTTGCGTGTCTCATCCTCGACCTGTTGCTGCCCAGCCGTTGCCATTCGGCTTTTCTTTACGGTCCTTTTGGGTTTCTTCGTAAACTCCATGATGTGCTTGTGAAACACTACCAAGGTGATTTTTCTCTGATATGATCCCATACTGCAACACACAGGCTTGGTGCGGTCGGAGCTCCATACTCCTACCTGTACATGTCTCTCTCTCCCTCCCCTTACGGTAAAGTCATCTACTTACCATGCTCTCAGAACTAGTTACCGGTGAGAAACTAGCGGGAGCTTTGGTCGTAGCGCAGGGAACGCTGCGTACCGAGAAAGACGTTCTTCTCGGGTTCCTCAACGACTGAGCTGCAACAGCATGTCGAACCCCGCGCAACCTTACGAGTCCTCTCGACGGACGACCGTCTATAGCCGCCAGCCAGAGGAGCTTCATATCCCGTCCGGGGCGCAGACTAGTTCAAGTTTGCAGCGCCAATCGATGTCTCACGAATTATCGACGGCTACTGAGCCCCCAATGAACAATCTCCCTTCCATCAACGTCCAGCCTTCGAGCGCCCAACCAAGTCACTATGGGACCGGTACCAGCAGTGGCAGCGGCACTCTCCCAGGAGCACTTCAACCAGGGAACGTGAACCGCCCTCCAGCAGTGTCTATGAACACAGCGCCTTCTGCGCTCCCAACGCTTACTCAACTATCTACCCAGCTGCAACCGCAGGCATCGCAACAGCCACAACAGCAACAGCCTCCGACGACCCCCCGTTCGGGCATGGTCAATTCGCACGGTCATTCGAGATCCAGTCCTTCGAATCTCGAGCAACCCAAATATAGACCGCACGGAGTGGCAGAGAATTCCAGATATGGATCATCACCCGGTGCGGGTTTCCAGCCTCATACTCCGCAAGGAGCGAAATACTCCCCGCTTGGGTTGGCCGATATACGTCCGTCGGGGGATCTTCTGAGTGACGCACTCCACAGTCCGAGCATGCCCCCAATTAATGGAGGTACTCAGGTTCCAACGAATAGCAACTACATCGCTCCATGGCCCATATATGCGATGGATTGGTGTAAATGGCCAATTTCAGGAAACTCGGGCTCCTTTGGCGGCAAGATCGCATTAGGAAGCTACTTGGAAGATAACCACAACTATGTAGGGACACGTCCTACATGCTTCACTATCGTTTAGGTTCATTCAATTGCTGACTAGAATCCAGATACAAATCATTGATACCCATTTGACGCAACCAGACCCGGATACACCAGATGTCGCGCCGGGAGACACGAAAATAGAGTATGTCAAAACAGCGGAAGCCACACATTCTTATCCCGTAACGAGAATCCTCTGGGAGCCGCCGTCATCCCAGAAGCAATCGACCGACCTACTTGCGACGTCCGGCGACCACCTACGCCTGTGGTCATTACCAACTACCCAGCCCTTGCATAGCTCCAACTCGATTACACGTCCTGCAAATCAGCGGGATCCCCCGGCTGCCAAGCTTTCCCCCTTGGCATTGCTATCGAATTCAAAGTCTCCCGAACATACTGCCCCGATCACCTCCCTTGATTGGAATACGATCTCTCCCAGCTTGATCATCACTTCGAGCATTGACACGACATGCACAATCTGGGACATTCCTACGCTCACAGCCAAAACACAGCTGATCGCCCACGACAAGGAGGTATATGACGTTCGATTCTGTGCGAATAGCGTCGACGTCTTTGTTAGCTGCGGCGCTGATGGTAGTGTGCGCATGTTCGATTTGCGCAGCCTGGAGCACAGCACAATCATCTACGAGCCGACTGAGAAGAATGACAAATGTATTGTCCTCCACATTAGCCTGTGTTGAGGCTTGCTGACACGAGTCTTCCCTAGTAATGAGCCCTGGAAACGGTAGCCCTTCAGCTCCATCCAATTCCGTCTGGCCCCCGCCACTTTTGCGTATCGCAGGTGTGTATTTCTAGTCGCATGCATGGCCAGACATTACCTAACACAGTTGCAGCTTCGCCACACGACGCTCACCTCCTAGCAACATTCTCCCAAGACTCCAACATCGTCCGCGTACTCGATGTCCGGCAGCCGGGCCAAGCCATCCTCGAGCTCAAAGGCCACTCCGCACCAATCAACTGCGTCGAATGGTCCCCCAACAGACGGGGTGTCCTCGCCTCCGGCGCAGACGACTGCTTCGTCCTCCTGTGGGATCTGATCAACCAGCACAATGCCGCACCTGTGCCCCCCCTTGTGCACAACCCAGCCACACCGTCAACGACTTCCGAACGAGGGCCAGCAGCGGCCTGGCAATGCGATTATGAAGTCTCAAACCTGAGCTGGTCGCCTCAGGGAGGGACGACCGGTTCCGGCCACCCAAGGGATTGGTTAGGGGTTTGTGGAGGCCGAGGCGTGTGGGGAGTTGCATTATGAAATGAAGACGGATATGCGATCTTTTGCTTCTAGACAACTTCTGTTTATTCCCCTTTTGTTCCTTTTTCCTCACTTTCTCATCTTTCTTGAGTTCTTGGTTTGCCTTGCTTATCGTTCTATCCGACGGGTGATGAAAAATGAAGTCATGCATGCCGGTATATGGAGCGAACTGGACGAGTGATGATTGAACGATTGACTGAATTGAATCAGAGGAAACCTACAGTGCTTGATTGTGACAGGGTGAGCGCTGATGTGTGGCAAAATTCAAGAAGGTATATAGAGATTCCTCCAATCTAAGTCTATTTACTTCTACTCCAGGTAGGTATGTAATATGTAAAGCGCAAACGCGAAAAAGGCAGACCAAGCGGTTCGCGAATTGAAAATGCCATTGCCATTAACACCCAACACCGATTAGTGACTAGTTTGGGAGACGGCATTGATGTGCTTAGTGCATATGTGCGTTCGGCGTTGAATTCTGCCGCCCGGTCATCTTGACAAGCACTTTATCCTCCACCCACCGGGCGAATTTGACGCTGGGAATGTCGACGGCGCGCCAGAAGACGTCGCCCGCCCAGAGGGAAACGGGCAAGCAAATGAGCCACCCGACCAAGAACCCCAGGCAGTACTGGAAATCTGTCTCCTTGCCGGTGATTTTCCAGATATTCGGCATAAGCGAGTAGCCCAGGGAATGCAGGATAGGGCCATGGACGATGTAGAAGGCAAAACAGATTTTGCCCAGATATTGCGACAGTGGGTTGACGAAGAGCTTCTGGATATCCTTGGAGTGGTTTATGCTGAAGACGATCAGGACTGCACCGAGCGTCTGCGGGAAGCGGTGCGGTTCGGGGTAGGTCTTGGGGGTGATTCTCCAGGTCCACCAGTAGAAGGGTGTCCACTTGTAGCCTGTGATCGGAGCGGAGCCCAGATAGAGGCCGAAGATGAAGAGGGCAATCCAGAATTTGCGGCGTGAGAGGGTGGAACGGGTGCGGTGCATGAGCTTTTCATCTGCGGATAGGCGCTCCCATGCACCGTTGATCAGATCGGCTTCAGCCATGAGCATGCCAGACAGGAACAGGACGACGTCCCACCGGCCCCAGCGCATACAGAACCAGACTAGGCCGCTAACCAGGCAGAGGCGAGCAACGGCTGTAACGCGCGAGGTTGCGATGATGGCGAGGAAGAGGACAATCGAGCACCGGAACTCCACTGGAATCGTCCACAGGTGTGGGTTGTAATAGTTGTAGTAGAGCGCCCAGTTCCAGGGGTCCATGAGGTGCACCACCGTGAGGTACATGTCCCAAAATTGTTTGGTAAAGGACTTCATCAGAGGAGGATGCTGCTCGTTCGTGCCGAGGATGGTGTGTCCTTCATTGATGACTTTAAGCGAGTAGTTGTAGACGCCGAGACGCACGGCAACAAGGACCAGAACGATTCCGACAATGGAGGGAATGTACAGCCGGAGACCGCGACGAAAGGTCGAGGACGCTAAAGTAGCCAATGTTTGCTCCCAGGAGCGAGTACGGATCATCTTCAGAGGCTTGTAGGATAGCACATATCCCGAAATCACGAAGAAGATAGCAACCATGATGTGGCCGGAGACAAGGAGGTGAAAGATGGGAAGGTGGAGGATCCCGTAGTTCTCGTTATTAAAACCCCACCCCACTGCGACTTTCCATGTGTAGGTGAAAAGAAAATGGAAATTGAAGACCAGCAGACAGGCCCAGCCTCTCAAGCCATCCAGCGCCGCGATCGCATGGAGTTTCGTGGACTGGGGAGGCTCCCCGCCCACCAAATGTTGCAGATAGCTCGGTGTGAGCGCGATGCCCAATCTTTTAAGCCAACGTTCTAAACATTCCTGCCAGTGATCTGTGACGTGTTGTACGTGTGAAGACAGCCGATCAGGACGTGCGAGCACATTGGAGGGGGTGTAGTCGGATAGATTCGTCCAGTTGAAGGACGACTTGCTTCCATGGGGGCCTGACTCCAGGTCATTGAGGGGAATATCATGGATCGCAGGAGCAGTCCGAGTGTCTTTGTCAGCGAGCGACATGTCGTAAGGACGTTTGTATCAGGTATAAGTTTGTGCGAAGGCGTTGGCGAGAGCCAGGATTCCATATACTGGTATAAACGGGGTCTGATTGCGCAATCAGATTGACAAGGCGATTCAAAACGATCCAGTCGTTTGAAAAATCGGGGAACAATGTCCGGACAAAGTCGTCCGCTTAAGATATTCAACAATACGCGATAAAGGGTATATTCAGGATGCAGACGTGTTCCTTCAGGAGTCCATCAATCGACAAGGCGCTAAAGCAAACCCGTAGACATTCTGAGGACAAAACCTCAACTGTTAGACTCGTCGCATGATCTCTGAAATTAGAGGTTCAAGAGGCTCTCACCTGTTGTAGATCACCGATATAACATGAAAAAGAAAGAAAGGTAGCGAGGAAAAAAGGAAGGGAGATTGATGGCAAAAAGAGTGGTGGAGAAGGAGTGAGGAGGAAGAGGACAAATCAGACACAGCCTCATTTTGTTTCCGTTGTCAACTGGCGCCAATCACCAATCCTGCTCGAAACCAACAAACATCTATCTATCTGCTTGATGCTGGCGGTATCCTTGAGTAGATGGCTTTGACTATGCATCAATATCTGTACTGTTTGTGAAAGTGGTAATCCAGTTAGTATTCCAAGAATTTGTGGAAGCTCCCTCGAATTGGCTCTACATAGTAGCTCTACTATGACCTCAGCTTTGATCCACGGTGAGGGCACCCGGAGAACGAAGATTTAAAGGAATTTCCCGAGCATTGATAAATCTACGTCGATATCTTCAGGCATTGCTTCGAGAGAATCAATTAGATATAGTAAGTCAGGAGATGCGATGGCTCTCGTTGTCCATCGCTCTCTCAGCAGCAGGGGCCAACCAAACCAGCCAAACATTTTGGGCTTCAAATTCTCTCCGTCTCATCATCTCCATCTCCATCTCCATCTCCATCGTCATCGCACATTTGTTGTCCGAATTTATCCTCAACATCCAATCGAACCGTCCCTAAGAACGACGCCAGAGTCATTCTTTATTTTCATCCCTATCCCCTCTCACTTCTTCCTTTCTGTTCTCCCTCTTTTCTCCCCCCCCTTTCCTTTCGAAGAAGACAAAGCACGGTGGCCCCTCGGCGCATCCCATTGCGACGACGGAGCCCCTGTTTTTATTTTTTTTTAATAATTTTTTTTAATCTGGATGTCTGGCTTGGTCATTTTATCTTCTTTACCTGCCCTTTTCTCGCCTTCCTCGCCTCAGTGACTTCTAGTGAATAGTATCCATTATGGATTTGCGCACGATTATGAACAGCGATGCCACTGGCACCTCCGATGCTGCCCCTGCTCCGTCGCAGCAATCGCTTTCTCGAACTGAATCAGTATATCCTCCACGTCAACCGCAACATGTCACCGCATCGCCCTCGTCCTCGTCGCCTTCCCATCCTCCTGGATTCCAACAACAGCCCCCTCAACCACCTCCATTGCAGAGGCCTCATGCGTCTCCAGAGCGATCGTCTTCCTATGGCTCAATACAATCGCCTTTTCAGTATCATTCGGCCTCTGCGCTGAGTGCCGGTGCGCAATCCCAACGAGGCCAGAGTCCGCCTACTCCAGCTCTTCCATTTGCTTCCTCCGGCTCGCGTGACTCCTATTCTGCGTCCGCCAGTTATAACGCGGCTGCACCATTGGCCTCTCCATACACCCCACAACCCGCGAGTTCTGCGGGCCCTTTCCCGGAACAGCAACAGCAGCAGTCGTATTTCGCGCAGCAGCGATCGCAGTCCATCCAGTCTGTCCTCTCCCCTCCATCCGCGACCAACCACTTATTCCCACCCAGAGAAAGTCCTTCCTCGGCTGCTTCGCAGTCGCATCCATCACAACTGTTCTCACCCCCCGCGCACGGGTCGTTGCCTGGTACTCCTCGAGCATCCGCTGCCACAGCTCTACCTCGTCAAACAACGCCTTCCACACGTCCTCAATCCTCCGGTCATGACTCTCAATCACATCATGGCTCAAGCCCTTGGGTTGGCCCGGATTCTCAAGTCCACATGTCTCCAACTTCGATGCCAAGATCTTCGCGTCAGGATTCAAGACACCGGGAGCAGACACCGCGACAATTTCCTCCAGGGGTTGACAGGCGAGCATCGGATGAAAGCGTGAGTCCCAAGACTGCTTATCCTGCAGCATCCCGACAAGGAAGCATGACCTCAACTTCCGAACAGAGGTTTGCAGCGCAGAGCAGTCGCACTGGGGACGGCGCAATAAGGGAGAACTCCACAGCGTCAACAATGAATATGTCGCAATCGCCGGTTGCTCCTGTGGACGCTCATACCGCGCCAACGACGTCTCAAATAAACAGCTCACCTTCATCCCATTCGGTCAAGCCCAACGAATCCATCACCGGAGCCGCATTTCCGACCAAGATGGATGTTACTCCCGACTTCAGACCCGATTCGAGTGACCGTCCTGCGAAGCGGAGGAGAAGACGCTATATTGAGCCCCCAATATTTGCTCAGCGGTCTGTTCGCACCAAAGGACGATGCCCGATGATTCCAAACCCGCACCCACCGATTCCGAAACATCTCAGAGACTCGGCCCAGAATCCCTTCGAAGCACGCCGACGGTCAACCCCTTCACAAGCGCCAGCCGCTGCAATCGCGCCATCGACCGCCGCAACAGCTGTGACCAAGTCGGAACCCCCACCTGTCAACGGCCCTCCAGTAGCCCGGCTACCCCCAGTCCCGGCCGCTCCGGCTCTCCCAGCAGGTAGCTTAGGGCCATGGGAACCCTCGATCACCGGGTTCATACCACATGAGGAGATTACCAAGCTTGTGTGCGACTTTTTGTTCCAGCACGTAGTGCTCAGGAACGATGCTACTGCTGTACCCGCCGGCACAGCTGCGGCAGGCCAGGGGGCAATCATCGAGGTGGAAGCTAAGTTAGGGCACCTTATCGACATGGATCGCGGCGAGAGGCTCAGTCTCCCGATTTTAACGGAAAGCGTCATTAACAAGGAAAACCCTCGTTTTCGGACCGCATTCGAAAGTTCCATGACGCTTGTGAGTACCATTTCTACGTCTATCCTGAGCCGCTTAATTAACAAGTATTTCAGTCACAACATCGGGCAATGAACAACTTTCTCAACGAAGCCGTGAAAGCATCTATGCCTCAAACAAATCAAGGTCGAATTCCCCTATCCTACGCTCACAAAAAGGAGCGAGACACCTTCTATGAAATTTCCCCATCCGAGCTTCCGCCGGTCATCAGACAGAACCTCAATCCCCGTCACAAACCGAAGGTCCGCGTCACAGTCGACCAGCGCACTGGCGAGGTCCTCGCTAAGATCGTCAAATGCCGCATCGCCGACATGGACGTGCACAGTCCGCGCACAAGCGTAGATTGGCGAATCAGCGTCAACCTCGAAATGAGCTACGAGGGCGACGTCAGTCACCTCCCCATGGTAGACAGCCGAGGCGGCCGCGGAGGAGATAGAAGCAAAGACCGCATGAGCTACAGACATTTGGCGTACCAGATCGACCTGACCCAGGTTGCCAAATCAGAGGTAAGCCTTTTTTTTTTTTCTGGAGACTGTCCCCGACTTCTGAACCAGTTCTGACGATGGCCTAGCCCCCTAGCAAAGGCGACTTCGAACACGAACTCGAGATCGAGGCCTCCGCCGCTGAGATCCGCCGTCAGGGCCAGCTAGCCATGGCCGGTGACCCGCAGAACCAATACGAAGAGCTAGTCAAGGGATTTGTGGATAACATCCGCGTGCTGGCGCGTGCGGTGCCGCCTCCTTCTTGATATTCCATGCCAGGTCGGCAGGCTTCAAAAACCACGTATCATCGCTACTGCACTCTCTCTTCCAGGTAGAAGAAATACAGACTACTACTGCTCATCCTCCTTGGATGGAATTGCCTTAACCTTCTTGGCTGTGTTAATACATATCCGTTCTAGTTTTATTTTTAATGGTCAGGTCGACGAGTGACGGAAAGAGCCTGAAATCGTGACATGATATGACTGATACGACATGTCGAATATTCATTGCGTTTGAAGACTCCATTCAAGACCAGCATATAGATTGAAGCCCATACGGTTGATTACAATCCATCTTCAAGTTGACAAGGTGTACATGATATTGAGTCCGCCCTGTATATGTCTAGAATACAACTATCGAAGTATGAAGTGAACCGACTGACCACGCATTATACATTGTCCATCTGTATTTGGGAAAAGATAAGCAAAAACCGGCAACGTAAAATACATTCCAAAAGATTCGCCTTTTTTTGTGCGCTGCAATCATGCTCTAAGGGCTGGGTGTTCCTTCGTCATAGCGAGGGCCATCCTCACCGTCCCCATATGCTCCCGCGCCCGGGGTCGCGGCCGCACCACCCATCGCCGGCGTGGGTGCATCGTACGGACGACCGGAGAGGCCGCCGGGGGTCGGTGCATTGAACACCCCCGGTGTCGGGGCGCTATCAGCCCAGGCTCCAGGCGTAGGTGCGGAGGCCCCGGGGGTTGGTGCGGTATATGCCCCTGGGGTGGGAGCAGAATAGGCCCCGCCGGGAGTGGGAGCGTCGTAGCCGCGAGAATCTCTATTCCCGCTTCCTGCCGAGGAGTTTGCAGACCAGGCCGGCGTGCGGCCGCCGGCGTTGGCACCTCCCCAAGCTGGCGTTCGTGAGCCTGCCGCGAATGCATCAAAGCCGCTCGATCCAGAACCGGAGTCGTAGGGTGTTCGCGCGCCGGCGTTCCAGGCTGGTGTGCGTGAGCCAACGCCTCCGTATGCGGTCCGACTCCCATCGTAAGGGTTCGATGTGCGCGATCCATCCATCTTCCATGCTGGGGTGCGAGAACCGCTGATGCCTGCCCAAGCGGGTGCTAAATACCAGTTAGCCTCAGACCTTCCATCGTAAACGGTAGTAAATAAACACTTACTTCGAGCCGAGGATGCACCACCCCAAGCAGGCGTTCTCGATGAATCTGCCGTTGCCATAGGCGTACGTCCGCCTGACCATCCGGA